TGGGAAATTCCCCAGCCCGGGAAATCTCTACTGCCGCCGGATGCCCGCCCGCCCGCGGCTGAACCGAAAAGAGCCAGGAAAGGGGACTCCAAAGGGGACTGGGTCAGGAAAAGCCGGAGGAAGCGGGCGGGAGCAGCGGAGCCGAACGGCAACAGGGGAAACCAGACACTTATTTATATACCCCGCCTGCCGCCGAAGGGAGTAACGGGCAGGTACCCATGCCCTCCCGCCCGCCCCCTTTCCAAATAAAAGCCCAGCCGGTTTCAGATCCGCCCTACCCCTCTTGCTGGAGGGAGCGGACTGGAAGCCAGGAAGACACACACACACACCAATGTCATCCCACCTCTCTGAGCCGTTCCCAGGGCAGCTACGCAGGTGCATCACCTCAGTCGCAAACCCTGACCTGGCTGCGGACTCCGGATCCCTCCAGAATGGGCTGCTCCCCTCCAGACAGTGTGGCACCTTTAAGACCAACAAAGGTTTATTCAAAGTATGAGCTTTCCTGTGCACCAACTGGATCTACCCACTCCAGACAGTGAGGGAGGGGAGTCACTCTGAAAGCTTCATCTATGTAATAAAGGAAGCTCCAGGCAAGCAGAAAACTGGCACAGCCATGAAAGGGCCGGCAACACTCCCCTCCTCCCCCAGGTGCTAATCTTCTATTGGCAAGATCTGTCCCTGGAAGGATTCAAGTTGCACAGCCCAGTCTTCTCTCAGTATGTACACACTCCAAGTTTTTAACCAGACAGGTATCAAAGCTTCTGGCCTTGGGGGTGGAGGAGCTTACTGAACTTCTTCGGAGTGGGCAAATAGGCCCTGCGTGGACTTGCCATCCTATGTTGGTAATTTAGGTATAAATCCCAGTTTCTGCATTCAGCCGTGGAAGAGCTTTCCCTGGAGGTGGGCGTAGTCCTATCCCCGCACTGTTCACCCCCACAGGAGAAATCATTCGTTTTGGAACCGGGTCAGTGTGTGTTGATGAGACCCAGCTCTTTCCCTTTTTTTCCCTAAATCTCTTGGGGAGGTGGGCAGAGGCCTCCAGCCCCTGCCTAACTGCTGTAGTTAAATGGCTAACACTTTTAAACAGAACCTCAACAAGATGGAGTGTTGGGAAGGTGGAGGTCATGAAGGACATGGTGCTTTCTGCATTTGGTGGGGCTCAGCTAGGCTTGCCAACCTGCAGGTGGTACATGGAGATCTCCGGTTGTCAGTCAGTCTCGAGACAACTAAAAGTAGTTTTCCCGAAGAAAACGGGGCTGCTTTGGAGGGTGTATTCTATTGCATTATATCCTGCTGAGGTTCCTTCCCTCCCCCATTTCCAGAGTGGGAGCAAGGTAAATTGGGATATTTGGGGAGATATGGCAATAGGGGATTGATACAAAAATATGCACGAGACATCTGCTGAGATTTCTGCTGAGGAGATCAGACCGGATGGGCAGACTTTCAAGGATCCCCTGGACAGAATCTTCGCGGAGAGCCGAAGACATGCACTCATTCCTTCACCTGCATGCCTTGCTCTGGACTGAACCAGAAAGGGAGGTGCTGTTGGTTCTTTCCCCCTTGCATCAAAGCAGCTATTTGCCTCTTCCAGAGAAAACACAAGAGGCAACGGTGCATTTCCCTCTACCCTGCCTGGCAAATTACAGTTAAGGGGAACGGGTTGCTTTGGAAGTTTATTTACCTCATTTTATACCACTTTTCTCCCCAATGGAGACTCAGGGCGACTTGCTATATGTATCCCCCTCCTCCATTTTAGGTTCACAACAACCCTATGAGGTAGGTTAGGCTGAATGTCTCACTGGCCCAAGCTCGCCCATCAAGCTTCTGAGGCAGAGGGTGGATTCCAACATTCCCAGATCCTAGTCCAACACATTTTAACCAGTACCCCCCAAAGTTTTCTCATTTGAGCATTGCAGACCTTTTCTTGACATGCTATGATTTCTATACAAGGTGTCATTCTATGACTGGCTCCACCTACAAAGCTGCATTTTGTGACAGGTATCTTTCAAGGCTCTTGGGGGGGAAATTAAGTAGTTCTCCAAAATGTAACACCCTGTCTCTGGTCACCACCCACCACATGGGCACAGAGAGCAGGGCTTGAGAAGAGAACTTCTATTGATCATTCACAACTAGACTTTCCTCTGTGGGCAAGAGATAATCCAATCAGAAGAACACCCTAATCTCCAGAAGAGTTCATTGACTAACTGTGGGGATGGTTCATGGTGTGTGCGAGTGAGAAAGGAGGGACATGTGGGTGGGAGGTCTACCTTTGTGCTCATGAAAGAGAGAGGGTATTTGCATGTGTTATCCCATATGCAGTATTATATATCAAAAGATACATCAGCCCACTTCACGGGTTTCAATAAACACACGCACAATAGCAAACCGTGTGCGCTTCATTTTTCTCTATACGTGCATGGATTCTCATGCTAAGTTCAATGCGTGTACAACTCAGCATCTGATTTAAACCCCACACTTATCCAGGTATTGGTACCCAGCTTCATTTGTAAAGTCAATGTGCATTGGCTATTTCTTACAAAGAGATGTACGCATGTGCAGGCCCATTTCCTGTAATTTGAACATGGCTTGTATGCAGGGGTCATTTCGCAGGAAAAGAGGTGCAGGAGCTCATTAGCATAACTTATTTGCATATGCCACACCCCATGACATCACCGGAAGTGTGTCAGAAGGCAACGCCCACCATTCAGGCTCCACTGGACTGTTTTGGATTGCTAGCTATTGGGGGGGGGACGGACGTGCAGATCTGTCCTCGCAGAGGAGGGAGAGCTTGTACCTGAATAAAACTTGGTCTTAATGGTGCCACTGGACTTTTTTGGGCGGGGGGGGGGTCTCTGCAACTTACCTGGCTGCTCCTTGCTCTGACTGAGGGCTGCTGGGAGCAGGGGTGGGGCTTGTTGCATGTGCTCACCCGCTGGGCTCTTTACTGCCAGAGCTCCGCTCCTGTGCGCTCCTGCAGGAAATGACCCCTGCTTGTATGATAGGAGAGTGCTATAAAAGTTTCTTTAGAACACTGTAAATATTAAGTGCTTGAAGTGGCAGGGAAATACGACGTTTCAAATTAGACCCCTTGCATAAACAGTCTTAAAGAGGAATTTGACAGATTCATGGAGGAGAGGTCCATCACTACTTACTAGACTTGTTGACTAAAGGGAACCTCCACATCCAGGGGCAGTACATCCCTGAATTCCCATGCAAAGAGGCAGCATCAGTGGAAGGTGTCGGCCTCGGTGCTGTTTGTCAGCCCTTGTTGATGTTTTGTTATATTTTGTATTTATTTTAAGCCCTACTTTTAAATTGCTCTCATGATGTATTTGTGTGTTGTTTTTAATGGCTTTAAAGAGGAGATTTTAATTTGTATGTTTTGTTAGCTGCCTTGGTGGCCTTATGAGGCCAGAAAGGCAGGGTAGAATTCTGGTTAAATTAAAAAATAAAAAATGGTCAACCAGTTATGAAACAGACTGTTGGACTTAGATGAACTGCTGGCTGGATCCAGCATGGATCTTCTGATGTTCTTGTAAGATTAGCCTGTATTCTATCTTATTTGTTTATTTACATAGAGAATATATATTCTGCTTTTCATACTCAAAAATATCTTCTCAAAGAGACTGACAAAAACATCTTTTAAATTGCCATACATGTTTGAATTTATTTTATTTTATTTTGCCATCAAGTTGCAGCCTGCCTAAGGAGATTAGGAAGGCTCCCATGATTCAACTAGTTTGCAGAAAATGTGAAATACGATTGTTCAGGAGAACATTTTTTAAAGGGGGAGATGGTTCTAACTTTAAATGATTCTGAAAACATTAGGCAGTTTCCTTTTATCTTGTATGGCTCATTGTATTATTCTGTTTTTATCACAAAGTTTTCTTATTGTGTAATCAAAAGCATTTCCTTTTGTGTATCCTGAATCTAATGCCCATCTGGGTTTTAACAATTGGATAGGAGAAAAAGCTCTCTCTGTCCATATTCTCCACCCTGAGCATAGTTTTATAAACTTCTATCATGTCCCGTCTTAGTCTTCTAAACTGAAAACTCACAGACTCTTCAGCCTTTCTTAACAGGAAAGGTATTTCAACTCCTTAACCATCCTGGTTGCCCTCTTCTATACTTTTTCCAGGTCTGCAATGTCCCTTTTAAGATATGGTGATCAGAACTGCACACAGTGTTCCAACTGAGGCTGCACCATAGGTCAGTACAGGGGCATCATAATATTGGCAATTTTATCTTCAATCCCGTTCCTAATTCACCCCAGCATAGAGTTTGCCTTTTTTAACTCCTATGGCACACTGGGTTCAGACTTATATTAAGCACACCACTACGACCCCAAAGTCTCTTTCTTTCTCAGCGTCAGCGACTTCAGAGCCTATTAACATATACCTGAAGGTGGGATTTTTTTGTTTCAAAATTCAATGTGCACCATATTATACTTACCTACACTGAACTTCAGGTTCCACTGATACCCACTCACCTAATTTGTGGAGATCCTCCTGGAGTTCTTCACAGTTGACCGTGGTTTTTACTTTTTACCATCCTGAATAATTTCGTGTCATCTGCAAACTTGGCCACTGCATTCCTCATCCTCACTTCCTGATCATTTAAGAACAAATTAAATAGCACTGACTCCAGTATTGATTCTTGTGGGACCCCACTGCTTATTTCCCTCCATGGCAAGAACTGTCCATTTATTCTTAATCTTTGCTTCCTCTAATTTAAATGATTTTTAATATACAAGAGGACCCTGTCCTCTTATCACGACTGCAAAGCTTAATGAGGAGTTTTTTGGTGAGTTACGGCTGTGTAACATTTTATTCTTTTCTGCTACCTCTTTATATGCAACACCCGTAAAGGCACCTTTAGCGTTCTGAGGTAATGGGTGTTATGCTGCTCGCCCGCCTGCCTACTTTAGCTTTTCCTGTTTATTTTCACTGCCCAAAAAGGCTCTCTAGAATTCTTAGTCGGACCTAAAGAACAAGATGGCTTAGTTATGGGGATGGCTCTGTGGGGTTCCTTTACTCTAAATAAAACAGTTGTATTCTCTTAAACATAAATGGAGTTTATTTAGAGGGAAAGCAGGGTAATGTTTTCAGTAATGTCTTCAGTTTTCATACATGTCACGGCTTCAGATAGGTACATAAGCATAACTGTTTCCAATAGCTACATAAGTGTAATTGTTCCCTTAAATAGACCTTGTCACACAGGCTTATTTTCTCACTTGCCACTTTGGCCAATAACTTCCACAAAGCTTAGCATTCCAACTTGCCACCCAGGCTAATTGTTTCCACACAGGCCTGTTTTCCTCACGTGCCACTTGGTCTAATAACTTCCACACAGAACACAGATTCTCTCAGCACCTCTCTCTCTTTCCTCCATATACACTCCACATGATCTGTCTTTTACACAAAGACTGTCTGAACCAACAAGTCAGCTCGGCCTACTAGGGTACAGCTACCATCCATTCGTAACACACTTTTGTGTGTAGTGGTTAAAAGCTTGGTGTAGTGGTTAAGAGCAGCAGACTCTAATCTGGAGGACCGGGTTTGATTCTCCACTCCTCCACATGAAGCCAGGTGGGTGACTTTGGGTCAGTCACAGTTCTCTCAGAATGCCCTCAATGCCACCTACCTCAGTCACAGGGTGTCTGTTGTGGGGAGAAGAAAGGAAGGCGATTGTAAGCCGCTCTAAGACTCCTTCAGGTAGTGAAGAGTGGGGTATAAAAACCAACTCCTACTCCTACTCTCACCCATCTAGCTCCCCTTTCTTACTCTACAGGCCTCCATTTTAAATCACAGCAACATACATATAAAACTCCACATTAAAACACCGAAATAAAACATGCGTACAGTATTTACATAGTGAGACACTACAGGTCCCATAGAAGTTTATCACCCTCGTATTAATATGGTCAGCGTTAAGTCTAACTTGCAAAAAGGTGAAAAGTTATGATATTTGCTATTTTAGCAGCCATCAACATGTGAGGGTCTTTCAAGGACACCCAGTTATCAAAACTGTTTTTACTTATGCTTTGGGTGAAGGTTTGTTAAAATGTTATGGAGTCAAACATCTAGTATATCTAAGTAGGAAGGTGCAAGGAAAAGCCTAGCCCCCCCCCCCCCCAAGTGCCTTTCAGGACACTCCCCCCCCCCAAAGATCCATGAATGGAGCCATCCTAAGCAAAACATACATATAATTGGTTAGTGTGGGACTGCAGCTGGAGATACCTGGATTCAAATCCTCTTCAGCCATGAGGCTCACTGAATAAGACTAGAACAATTTCTCTCTGCCGAGCCTGAGGAAGAACCTGAATAGCAGGAGAGTAATAGTTGAGCTTCTACTGGAAAAGATTTGCTCAAAATGTGCAAACAAAACTTGGCTCTTCTGCTTCCAAAATTCTAACAGGTACAATACACTCACTATCACACATGCAGACAAAGGAAATCAGCTACTTAATTATAAACTTGAAATGTATGCGGACAATGGAAAACTTTCAAAACGTAGTGAGATATGTATAAGTATCTGACTCCAATAAACAATTGCCATTGTTGAATAAAAACCTCGTACAGATGCGTTTTTCTCCCTGTAAACAATTCATTTATTCGTTAATATTATATGCAAGAAATTACTCAGCCAATCTTCAGTACTAGGTAAAGGTTCCGGTTTCCACAACTGATCAACCAATTTCGCACTGTTATTGGTATAAGCCCAATTAGAGCTAACGACAAAGAAAATCAGTTACTAACTTAGGTAATTGGCATAATACGGCTATAATAAAATAAAAGGGATGTTTATGAAATGCAGCCAGGAAACACTGTCCCTACTTCAGTTTCAAACCCAATAGAGAAGTTATTCAGACATTTCTCCACCTGCTCACTATCACCTGTCCGGCTTCAAGTTTCCCCCAATCTCCAACAGACTTCCCCAGGTGTCTAAGCAGACTCACAATCAGAACATTTATAGGGAATTTCTGATACAGCAATGTTAAGAGAGGATGACAGAGGCGACTCCTCTGTGATTGAGATTAGCACCTTTTATACAGTGTCTACCCTGTGTGAATCCTTTTGTGGGAATTAAGACTTTGGCTATGACGGAAGTCCTTCCCACACTCCAAACACTGATATGGCTTCTCCCCAGTGTGAATCCTTTGGTGAACATTAAGGATTCCATTCTGTCTGAAGCTCTTTCCACATTTTGAGCATTTGTATGGTTTCTCCATGGTATGAATCTTTTGATGAGTATTAAGCACCGCACTCTGACGGAAGCTCTTTCCACAATCCAGGCATTTATATGGTTTCTCTCCTGTGTGAGTCCTGTGGTGATTACTAAGTATTGATCTTTGACTGAAGCTCTTCCCACACACCAAGCATTTATATGGTTTCTCTCCTGTGTGAATCCTGTTGTGTTCAGTAAGATTTCTGTTCTGCCTGAAGCTCTTCCCACACTCCAAGCATTTATATGGTCTCTCCCCAGTGTGAATCCTCTCATGAACAGTTAGGCTCTTACTATGACCAAAGTTCTTGCCACACTTCAAACATGTATATGGTTTCTCCCCTGTGTGACTCTTTTGGTGAGAATTCAGGGTTGCACTCTGCCTGAAGCTCTTCCCACATTCCAGGCACTTATATGGTTTCTCTCCTGTGTGAATCCTCTGGTGAACAGTAAGGCCTTTGCGGCAACTAAAGCTCTTTCCACACTGGAAACATGTATGTGGTTTCTCTCCTGTGTGACTCCTTTGGTGAATACTTAGTCTTGCTCTCAGACTGAAGCTCTTCCCACACTCCAAGCATTTATATGGTTTCTCTCCTGTATGAGTCCTCTGGTGAACAGTAAGCTGTGTGCTGTGACCAAAACACTTTCCACACTGCATGCATTTATATGGTTTTTCACCTGTGTGAATCTTGTGGTGAGAGGAAAGGCTTGTGTTCCAAAGAAAACTCTTTCCACACTGCAAGCATTTATATGGTTTCTCCCCTGTGTGACTCCTTTGGTGAGTTGTAAGAGTTGTGTTCCGAGAGAAGCTTTTCCCACACTGCAAGCATTTATGTGGTTTGTCTCCTGTGTGACTCCTTTGGTGAGAAGAAAGATTTGTTCTGCACCTGAAACACTTTCCACATTCCAAGCATTTATATGGTTTCTCCCCACTGTGAATCCTTTGATGTACAGTTAGACTGTCACTCCGAGGGAAGCTCTTGCCGCATTCCAAGCATTTATATGGTTTCTCCCCACTGTGAATCCTTTGGTGATACGTAAGGTCTGTTTTCCGACGGAGCCTCTTTCCACACACCAAGCATTTATATGGCTTCGTCATGGTGTGAACCCTTTGATGAGTAGTAAGGCTTGTGCTCTGACGGAAGCTCTTTCCGCATTCCAAGCATTTATGTGGTTTCTCACCTGTGTGAATCCTCTGGTGAATAAGAAGTCCTGATCCCTGGCTGAAGCTCTTTCCACATTCCAAGCATTTATATGGTTTCTCTCCTGTGTGAATCCTGCGGTGAGAAATAAGTCCCGATTTCTGATTGAACCTTTTTCCACACTCCAAGCAGTGATATGGTCTCTCCCCCGTGTGAATCCTTTGATGTACAGTTAGACTGTCACCCCGAGGGAAGCTCTTTCCACACTCCAAGCATTTATAGGTTTTCTCCCTACTGTGACTCCTTCGATGAACGGCAAGGCTTTTCATGCACCTAAAGCTTTTCCTACAATGTGAGCATTTATATGGTTTATCTCCAGTGTGAATTCTTCCATGTTTCTTAGGAGTAGATTTGCAACCAGATCTTTTGCCACTCATAGGGTGCTTCTTCCTTCTATTTCCCTCATGTCGTTTCTCTTCAAAGAGGATTTCCTGAAGATCCCTGCCTCGAAAGGAAAATGATTTCTTCTGCTGCTTTCCTCCTCTCTTTGGTCTGCCTCGATTCCCAGCTTCTTCCTCTGCTTCCACCTCCTTGTCTCTTCCCTCATTCACTGTGCTTGGTTCCCCCTCATCTCCTTCTGGAATACAGACAGAAATCCAGTAAAAGACCATGGAACAACAAGTTGCTGCATTTGCAGTTGGATAAGTTGCTAAATAGAGCATGCGACTTTAGCAATATTCAAGCTGCTTCTGGCCGTGATAAAAACCCAGCTGTTGCTAATTGCGATAAGCAACCAGTCATTTGTTCTATGAGGGAGGGGTCGACTAAGCTACCTCCACAGCAACAGGAGAGGGAGAGAATGGCCCCCTCCCAACTTGTCTGGCAGCCACATAAGATCTGTTTACAAATCTGCAAGTTTAAAGGATTTGTACCCTCCTGGAGGACTGCTTCACTTGTTAAGAAACATCTATTGGAATTATTTGGGAAACGTATCGGACACATGGATATAAAAACAGTGGAGCCCCTTAATGACATCACTCAAGCTCAGAGGGTTCTACTTTCCTTCCGCAGCCCCAGCATCCCCAGGCTGCTTTTTCATCAGAAAGCTCTGCTAAACTCTAAAGGAATCTTCCCTATTCGTGTTTTTAAGGACTGTGCTTGGTTCCCCCTCATCTCCTTCTGGAATACAGACAGAAATCCAGTAAAAGACCATGGAACAACAAGTACCACCTAGTAGAAACAGTCACAGGTGAAATATTCTTACTTAGATGGGCCTGGAGAAGCTTCTGCATCCTCTAACTATTAGCTGAGACATTTTGTAAAGGGATAGCCAGAGAAGCAGAACTGGGCCAGGAGGACGGGGTACTGAGGCCTGTTGTTCCTTTTCAATACCCAGAAGAAAGGTTTCTTTACATATTACAAGTGAAGAGAAAAAACAGAAACACCATCTACATTTCCCATTTACTAAGCAAAAGTGCTCTCTGTGTAGGACAAGTTTCAAAGCAGAAGCAAAACCCATCCTCCATTTTTGTGCAGAACCCTGCGATCACCCTAACTCTGGCCTCTCCCCTTCCTGTCACATGACTCCCTTTCCTGTGGTAGTAGATCAGTTGAGTCCATTGACACCACATAGGTGTTAAAAGTGGCACCCACATCTGCAAATACTGAAGTACACTCCCCTAGTAACCATGAAGACCTGTATCTCCCTGAGGAGTAGAGCTCTTCAATAATTAAGCTGGAAGGATTTGAGTAAGTACTGAACTGAAGACCTTCTTTCCTTTTAAGCTGAGGTTCCTTCATTAAATTGTGTGGGAACTATTTCTTTGGGGGAGAAAAAATGACTGAATTAATCCTCCTTATTTGACATCATATTAGGATACAAAACGTTTTTTTTCTTTTGCACCAGAAGGAATCCTCAGCATGAATTCACATGTCTTAAGGCTACTGAATAAAGGGGCATCGTGGTGTACTTATTTTATCCTTCCAACAACAGTGAGCGGTAGGGTAGGCTGAGGTAAAAGACTGACCCAAGGTTGACCAGTGAGCTTCGCTGCAGGAGGTCAGACCTGGGTCTCCCCGTGGAGAAACAGGCATTACCTCATCCAAGTCGAATCCCCATCTGTTAGACCCCAAAAAGAATGCTTTCCCTCCACTTCCCAGTTTTTCTCAGGGCAAACCTTAAGATCCCCATATCTGCACTGAAAAAAAAACCCAACAATTGATCTGTGGTGTTGTAAACTTTGGTACTAGACTCCTGGGGCGGAAGACATTTTAAAACATCTCCAGTCTCAGCCTGGCACTCTAATCAACATACCACACTGTCATGCTTTGCTACCTAATAGGGCCTCCACCAGAAAATGCTAATGATGTTTCTCCACAGCTTGCATTCTGGCTATTTCAACACCACAACCTCTCTTTCCCAATGAAGAACTCTTTCTAGGTTATGACATGTCTGTTTCTTTGACATGGCCATAAACAAAACTTACTCTCAGCCACCTCTGTGGGCAAATCAAGGTTCTCTTGAGAGACTCCCAGGAAAGGCTCCACCGCATCTTCTGACTCGTGGCCTTCTTGTAAAAAACGCTCTGCTTTTATCTCTCTCTCATTCATGTCTTCTTTCACACAAAGAATGATAGACTCCGTGTTCCAGCAATAAAGAGTAGCTAAGAAATGAGAGAACAGTACAGTTACAACTTAAAAAAGATGGAACATCCAATCTCAGTCACAGGTTCAGCTATGAAATAAATAAATACATCATCATGACTTAAATAAGATGGATCTGACATTTCCAGCCAGAATCAGAAGAACCTGGGTCCATTTCAGGCTTTAGACCTAGACATGAAGGAATGACAGGAAGCTACAAAAACAGTGTGATCAGTATATTCTCAGCTGAGCAAACTATAACCACAAATGTCAGGCAGTGAAGGGCCCTTTCTTCCATATCTAAGGAAGTACCTGTGGAGGTCTTCATTTCAGCAGAGTCCTGGACAAAGATCTCACCCGCTTCCTCCAGCCAAGAGATCAGGTCAGGTTTGCAGGTCCAAGATCCTCCTTGGAGGAACACCAACAGAAACCAACATGTCATTTTTGAGACTTTGTTAAATTAGGATTCTGTACACTGCAGACTGTCATTCATTCTCCAGGGATGTTAAAGAACTGAAATTTGTGGGGTTGTGGGAAAGTATGGAATAGTCAGGGGGGGGGTCTCTACCAGAGTTCTCAGGATGCTCACAAAACGACTCAGGACCATCCACCCCCCAGTCGTTGACTTGCTTACCCAGAAAGGCCACGCTCCCAAAATTCTCCAGCATGACTTCTCTGTAGAGAGCTCTTTGGCCAGCATCTAGCAGAGCCCACTCCTCCTCTGTGAAATACACGGCCACCTCCTCGAAGGACACAGGGCCCTGGAAGAAGGCAGAACCATTCACTTATCAACATCTGTGTCCAGATGGGGGGTTGTGTATTTTTATGCGGGATGCAGTGCTTCATGTGGGAAAAGTGAGTGGAGTTTACACCTTGCTCTGACATCTTGCACCAGCTGAAAGGCTCCTGTGACAAAGAGAGGGCGACTCAGTCCATTCCGCACTCATCTCCACCGTGGCCCAAGGCTCATGCAGAATGTCACTTTCCACTGGTGGTGACTGGCATCCAGTCAGTGATCTCTCTCTTCTTCCTGCAAGTGAGGAAAAAAGCAGTGGGAACATTTCTCTTGCATTCACAATTCCTATTTCGACTCCTGCGTCTGAGTACTGTTTCATCTTTCAGGCATCTTTTTAGGAATATGATGCTCCAAGTATGCTGTTTACACAGCCACCTTGCAAATATGTCTGCAGTAGATGCTACTTCAGTATAAATCTTACTGCATGCCTGCCAGTCTGAAAGACTCAGGCTTCATTCACATCCATTTTAGGAAAGTTCTCTGCCTGGTCTCTTGGAAGCAAGTTCTCAGGAAAGATCTTCCTCCCCCCTACCCCTTTTAGAGGGGCCTTTTCCTCCTCAAAATTTATGAAAGAACATTAGTGTACAATAAACTATCAACATGCAAATTGCCAATTATATATGCTGCTGATTATATACTGTGATGAGGTAAATCGTAGATCGGGGGACAGGCAATTCAGGTTCCTGAGGTAAATTATTCTCCCTCCCTCCTACAGACATCGTTAGTTTCACAAAACAATAAGATTATTATCACCTCTGAAGAAGATTAAAAGCTTATTTTCGTTGTCAAATATTATAACTAAAACATGCCCCCAATATCTACAGCTAAGTTGGGTGGTAGTTTCTTTTAGAGCATTACAGCATCACAACATGCAGTCTCAGACATACACCCAAATGACAGGCTCCTTTGTCCGGATGAGAGAGGAGTTTGCTTTTAAGGCAGAAGAAGATCTGTTCCTTTCGCTGCCACCTTTAAACCAAGAGATCACTGCCAGAGGTATGCTCTGTATCTCTTCAGTCCAATTCGCCTCAGGACTCAGCCCAGAAAATCAGGTGAGCTTATTTCTGGATCCTACCCTGATCCAGTAGAAGAAGAAGAAGAAGAAGAAGAAGAAGAAGAAGAGATTGGATTTATACCCCGCACCCAAATGTCAGGCTCCTTTGTCCGGATGAGAGAGGAGTTTGCTTTTAAGGCAGAAGAAGATCTGTTCCTTTCGCTGCCACCTTTAAACCAAGAGATCACTGCCAGAGGTATGCTCTGTGTCTCTTCAGTCCTATTCGCCTCAGGACTCAGCCCTGAAAATCGGGTGAGGTTATTTCTGGATCCTACCCTGATCCAGTACCTAAAGCCTAACCTCCTCTCTCCCTGATATTTAACCCAGGAAACCTAAACCTTTCCTTTCCCTGTTAAGCTCCATCTCTGTATCTCTTTACTCGCCGAGGTCTATGTGAGGCACTGGCAGCTTTTCTCTCCCTCCAAAATCACCCCCCACCCAGGTTCTACAGCCTCCCACTGATTGATGTCCCTGGGAATTACCATATCCTTCCCCCTCTGTAGGCAACAGGGATTTGCTGTGATGCCTGAAGGGGGGGGGATAAAGGCTGTCCCTCACACCCACCCACCCATCCTGATCTGCAGGAAAGGACAATACAGGTGAATGCTGAACATTGTTATGCCCACCTCAGCTCCAGTCAAATGGGAGCAGAAAGGGTGAAGTTTGATTTGCCTTTCTGTATCTCCCTTATTCCTGGAATAAAGGGTTTGGGGTTTTTTAAATTCAACTGAGTGCCTCGCCTATGTGTGTTAATTGGAAAAGCACACACCAGGCTATCGGCCCATTTTGGCAACAAGACCAAGGTCATATTTCATCCAACATCCCATTCCCTGCAGTAGCCAACCCAGTAACCTAGAAGGCTCACAAGAGCTCCTCTCCAAATGACATTCATAGATGCACTGCCTCCGAACATGGAGGCTCGATTTAGCCACCCCTTGCTAAGAGCTCTTGAGAGATCTATTATCCATGAAAGCACCTAGTCCCCTTATAAAGCCACCTAAGGTTTTAGATAGCACTACATCCCGTGGCAGTGAGTTCCACATGTCGATTATGTACTAAGTAAGTTTAGCAGCTCTAACGGACTATCTAACACTGAAAGAGGGGCTCCTTGTATCAAGATTCCACTGGGGGCGTGTGTTGGGTGGGTGCATATTTCGCAAGCCCGAAGAAGATGACCCATCCGCCGTCTCTCTCACCGCGCCAGCAGTTCGTTCCCTGCCGAGGTGACCCCTCTGAACTTGCTCCTCTTTCTCTTCCTCCGCTTTCTCTTTCCTGCAGCTTCCAAAAACCTTCCCCGCCCGCCTTCTTCACTTTCAACGTCCAAAATGCCAAAAAGGTTTTCAACTCTGCGTGGATTAAATCCAAAAGAGCAAACATGCCCCCGGTTTCCTTACTCGGAGTATTTAAACCGGATTCATCCACGATCATGCATTGTTTATTTAGAAGTCCAGGGGAAGGAGGAGAAAATAATAGCCAACCTAGAAATCCATCAGTCTTATAACGAATGCAACAGAATGTCCAACGCGAAGGCAACCTACCTAAAAGTAAATGGCATTTTAAAATCTAAGGATCAAGACGAGCTCACACACACACACACCCCTTTATTCTTTCTTCCGGCGGCGTTAGCCTTGTTGTCCCCTTCCAATCATGTGACTGAAGCACAGCCAGAGACCTGGCAAAGCGAGCCCTACCAAGTTGCTGCTGGAGCACATGGATGGCTGGAGAACCATCGTGCATCCCCTGCACCACCACCCCTCCGACCGCCACGGAAGGGAGCTGCAGGATAATTGTAGCAGCTCTCTTCGTGACGGGAGAGTGATCAGCAGCGTTCGTTTCTGCATCTCAGTGGAGTCATCGCCCTGTCCGATCACGTCTAGGGAATTCTCCTTGATCTAGGTCTCCTGCTGCCAATGTTCCCTCTAAGCTGCAAAGTCTTGTGAGCAAAAATTCTGCTTTCTGAGCTACCAGCATTAAAGTTGTGAGCAAGCAATTTGGCTACTGCATAAATTAGTTTGCTCTGGAGCCATCCTTCCTGAGCCAAGACAAAAATGTGTGAGCTGGAGGCTAAAAAACTATGAGCTAGCTCACACTAACTCAGCTTAGAGGGAACACTGCCTGCTGCACTGGTTTACTTTTGGTTCTGGAAAGCTGATCCCCGGAAAACTTTGTTGGTCTCTGTCTGAGGTGCTACTGGACTCTAAATTAACTGGTTTATGTTAGTATTTCTGAATTCACTAACACCTGACACTTTTCAACCCTGCTTCTTACCACAGCTTTGCTTACAAGTCATTGAAGTGTGGTCCGGAGAACAAGCTGTCATCGGAGAGATCTTGGGTTCAAGGCTCAGACTGACAGGATGCCGAATTCTGTACCACATTCTGGATTCTTTCTGCATTCCCACAGAATCCACAGCATCCACATCACTGCTACATTAAGTTAAACCCAGCTATGAAATACTCCTTTCCTTATCTTTGATAGCAAAGAAAGGTCCTGATGGACGCCAAAGGAGAGAGAGAAATATTCAAGTGAACATTAAAACGATTATCAATTCTTCCTAAAGATGCACTGACATTTCTTCCAGGGCATCTTCAGGGTGGGAGACTGCCTATTCAAACTTTGTCTGCATCAAACTGACAAGGTTGGTTGTCCTTCTTTGGTGTAGCAGTTAAGAGTGCGGACTCTAATCTGGGAGAACCAGGTTTGATTCCCCACTCCTCCACTTGCACCTGCTGATGTGACCTTGGGTCAGTCACAAGCTCTGGCACAGCTGTTCCCGAAAGAGCAGTTTGTGTCAGAGCTCTCTCAGCCCCACCCACCTCACAGGGTGTCTGTTGTGGGGAGGGGAAGGGAAAGGAGTTTGTAAGCCGCTCTGAGACTCCAAGTGAAGGGTGGGGTATAAATCCAATCTCTTCTCTTCTCCTCATAGAGCCCGTGAGCAATGTGGAATTTTGAGAACAGGGAGTAGGCACTGCCCCCATAATGGCTGCCATGGGAAGGGGAACAGGACAGTAACAAAATGGCTGCCATGCGGTTTGGATGATAGCCACAAACGATGCTGTGGGGGCTGGCCCCAATCCCTAATAGGGTTGCCGGCTGAGTAGTGGTAAATGGTGGGAGGTTTGGGAGGGTGAGGAAATAATAACAAAGGTGCAAAGTCACTTCCAGACTGAACGTGGACGTGGCACTCTAGGATTCCACTAAAACGCTATGGTTTCCCAGAATGCTAGAGTGTCATCCCAACATGATGATGTTAGCTCCAGACTCATGCTGGGACATGATGTCATGCCATTGCCATGATGCTGATTTTCCCTTCATTTGTCCCCTGCCACCCTACTGAGTGGTGACTTGGCGTAGGGGGCAGTTGGCGAGAGGCCCTCCATGCAATTCCTTGTCTTTCCCACCACTGTTCCAGAGGCTGGCGGGGATGGGTGGAAATTTGGGAGGCACTGTTGTCATTGTTGTCACACTAGCGCACAACATCAACTCCAGCAAAAACCACAATAGTATTATGATGTCAGGAGGAATGCTCTAGGATTTCCCCCAAACAATTACCTGTCCCTCAAATCCTCCCAGTGGTCACCCTATCTCCTGCTATAGAGGGCGATCTGGCAACCCTATGTTGCAAGGTGGCAAACTTGGCATCTTCTACAACAGATGCAGCTGTTTCTGCATAGAAGCTCCCTGTGCACTTCTGGAGCACCTCCCACTCCATTGATGGGGAGGAAAGCCAGGCGTGGCTGTCTGCTTAGGAAAGAGATGCTTTAGGTAAGAAGCAAATTGGGGGCAGCGGGGGGGGGGGGCAGCCAAGAAACCCATTGGTGGCCGCCATGGGGCAGGAGAAGGAGGAGGATGAAGAGCTGGATTTACACCCTGCCCCACCCTTCACTTGGAGTCTCAGAGCAGTTTACAATCTCCTTCCCTTCCTCTCACCACAACAGACACCCTGTGAGGTAGGTGGGGCTGAGAGAGCTCTGAGACCTGTGACTGACCCAAAGTCACCCAGCTGTCTGCATGTAGAGTAGGAGGGAATGAAACCCTGTTCTCCAAATTAGAGTCCACCGCTCTTAACCACTACACCAAACTGGCTCTCCAAATTAGGGATCGCTGTACTAAATAACCTTCAGCAAGCCTGATCTTTCAGCCTCCGAGTTCTAAAGCTGTACCTAGAGGGCAGAACAAAGCTCCAGTCCCATTGATCACCAGATTACCTGTTTTAGCCATGCCGCAGAGATGGGAGGCCTGGGCACATGTTCAAGCCATATAATACCCCCATACCCCCAACAACTCTAATGTGGCTGAACATCTGCAGTAGGAGTTACAAGTGTGCATGGTCTTTTGTGCAGTCAAGAACACTGTGAAAAAGCAGCATTCCCAATCACATGGGAAAGCCTACGTTTGGGGTCTTCCACCTGTGGGACCCCTCTGCAAACATTCAGACATTTGGCTGAACATGGGAGAGAGGGGAGTGTCCTGCAAGTGCAATCCTACTCCTCACCACTTGGGTGCAGTGTGCAGTTTCTAATATTGTATAGGGCTAATGCATTCACGCCCTGCCTGGACTGGATGGCCAGGCTAGCCTGATCTTGTCGGATCTCGGAGGTAAGAACATGGATGGGAGACCACAAAGGAAGTCCAGGATTCCCGCAGAGAGGCAGCCAATGGCAGATCACCGCTGTGTGTCCCTATGGGGTAGCTGCACCTTGACAGCACTTTTCAGCACCAATGCATTCAACTGCTTATCTTCCATTCCTAATGTTTAATCATGCCAATTATTGCCAGCCGCATTATCTTCCATTCCTAATGTTTAATCATGCCAGCCGCATGAAGAAAATCCAGCCTGGTTCATCTTTTCAGTCATTCTCCTGTAAACAAACGGTGATGATATTCCCAGTGTGGCAAACCTGCCTTTCGTTTTTGTGCTGCCAAAGGGAGCAATCTGTTGCTTCTGCCTGCTCAGGTGGATACTGAGATGCTGTTCACGTGTTGCTGAGGATTACTCAGTCCCCCATCACTGCTCAACAGAGCATACAATCTGCATTTTGACAGTAGAAAAGGCAGCAGTGGGCTCACACTCCCTCTGTTCCTTTACTAATGTTACGCAATAACAGATCCGTGAGGAAGGAAACTGTCTGGGATATTGCAGGAGGAGAAAATTGATCTGCCCCAATTTGGCTAGGGATATTCCAAATAGAATTTCCACCCAAAACACACAAAAAGATTATGCCCTTTTAGAAAAGGCCTGTATCCACACACATAGAAAAAGCGTGTAGAAGTAGGGGGGTTAAACACCTTCTCAGCTCCTCACACAGCCATGTTCTGAATCCGGGCCACCACAGGTATCATTTTGGTTTAGCATCTTTCTGGAACGAATACCTCAAATTCCTCCAGTTCCAGTGTCAGTTTATTCCAGTTCAAATGGCTAAATTCATCTTATCGTTCTAGCATGCACTTCTGGTGAGAACACCCACTGAACATTCAGTTGCTTTCCTGGCAACGGCCCCAACAGTCTTACACTGGGAGGTCTCAGGATTATTTTACTCGGGGTGAACTCTACTAGGCTGAGTTCTCAGTAAAGTTCACCCAGGCAAAGTAATGCTAGGCCCGGCCTGTATGCCCAGCAGAAGTACAATATTAAAATCCAAAGTGAGCAGGAGGGGTATTGAACGGACTGTGGCACTTTGGCATGCAGAGGGATCGCTTTTTTTTTTGTTTGAATCTTCAAAAACTCACCACAGATAGAAAATGAGCACAGAAGGGCAAGCTTTTCCTCTGTGGTGCTAGTTCTCTGCTTGGCAGAGACGTTTTCTACCTTCCCCTTCAATGCACAGGACTATTAAAAAAGTTATCCTCCAGCGTGCCACCTGAAGTGGTACCGTCCATTCTACCATCCCAGGATTCTACCACATCGTTCTGCAGCACATGTGGCTTCAGACTCTACCATCGACTCTCCAACTGTGCATAATCTGAGATTTCACCCCACTGTTTCAGGAGATGCTGCTTCAAAGATTTCACTTCTTTAGGGGTCCCCCAAACCAAGTTCTCGGTATTGCAGTAGCTCCTGCACATGTTCTACACACCCACGTTCCTAACCACGTTCTACCTCCTTGCTCCCTTTACCCCGACTAGAACACACCACCATGCAAATTTCCATCCCTTCCCCCCCACCCAAAAATCTCGGAGATTGTATGTAATAAGAACTTAAAAATATAAAACTGGAATTACCATGACAGACCCCCCCTGGCTAGTGTGACAGGTAAAATATGGGCAAGTTAAGGATACTGCTACCGAAACGCTCACCAGCAGTACTCCAAGGCTGAATGTCCTTTCCAGCATTTGGCTGCAGACACACAGCAAATGAGTGCAGTCGCTCCAATGGCATTGCTCTGCCTGCCCGGCTGCCCACACTGAGCCTCTGGGACAAAGTCACATGATGTGAGAGGTCTATCATTAGAATATCTCGGTTCTTTCAAAAAGAAGAAGAGGAGATCAGATTTATATCCCGCCCTTCACCACCTTATTTATTTATTTTTGACACCCAAGGTCACACCAGCAGCTGCATGTGGAGGAGTGGGGAATCAAACTCGGTTCTCCCAGATTAGAGTCTGCGCTCTTAACCACTACCCCCAACTGGCTCTCACCAAAAAGGCTATTTATAACAGCCATATGTAGCTGCGTGAAAGACTGGGCATGTGCCCCTGAGAGAGGAGAACATAAGAACATAAGAGAAGCCAATGTTGGGTCAGGCCAATGGCCCATCCAGTCCAACACTCCATGTCACACAGGGGCCAAAAATACCAGGTGCCATCAGGAGGTCCAGTGTAAAATCCTTTCTCATGTAGAAGCATCGTTTCCCCCTCATGTTTCCTAAGGTGAGAACTAGAAGCAAAGGCTTAGATCCTACCTCCTTTCTGCTCCATCTGACCTAATTCCTCTCTTTACTATAGCCCCATCCCACATAGCATTTAATAAACACATCCTCAAACTCTGCCATTAAAAAAAAACCAAAGTGAAAGATGTTAATTCTGAAATCATCACATCCCTCATGGTTTGGACCTCTGAATATTTAGCTTTTCGGGCACCACCACTGAAACCATGTCCACCTACTCCACACTGGAAAAAAGACATCGCATAATGTAATGTAGTTTTAATAAGTGTTGATGTGTATTACAAGGCCAGCAATGCCCGGAACAGGTGAGCCCCATTCCTTCATTCCAGTTTCACTCCTGGAAAGTTTCCCCTCACCTCTCTGGGTTTTCCTAACGCAGCCTTTCCTACAATTTACGCCCTTATGATGGTTCTCCAGGGTGGATCTTCATGTGCCTGTGGAAAACCGAGGAACTACAGAATCGTTTTTCACACACTGCGCATTCGTACGGTTTCTCTCCAGTGTGGATTCTCTCGTGTACAACAAGGTTAGATTTCTTACTGAAGCTCTTCTCACAGTATGAACATTTATGTGGTTTCTCACCCGTGTGGACCACGGCGTGTTTTCTAAGGTGAGAGCTGGAAACAAAGGTCTTCCCACACTCTGAGCACCCGTAAGGTCTCTCTCCTGTGTGAGTTCTCTCGTGTATAACGAGACGGGACCTCTGGCTGAAGTTTTGCCCACAATCCAAGCAATGGTACGGCTTCTCGCCGGTGTGCGTTCTTTTATGAGTTTTCAGTTGAAAACTGGTCCGAAAGCTCTTCCCACACTCGGAGCATTCATACGGCTTCTCTCCCGTGTGGGTGCGCTTGTGTTTGATAAGAGAGGCTATCTCCCTGAAGCTGTTGCCACAATCGGAGCATTCGTGCGGCTTCTCGCCTGTGTGCGTCCTTTTATGAATCACGAGTTGGAAACTAATCCGGAAGCTTTTCCCACACTCGGGGCATTTGTAAGGCTTCTCTCCCGTGTGGGTTCTCTCGTGTTTCACGAGAGAGGCTCTCTCGCTGAAGCTTTTGCCACAATCTGAACATTTATATGGTTTCTCACCAGTGTGTGTTCTTTTGTGAAGCTTAAGGTGGCAGCTGATCCTAAAGGTTTTCCCACAGTCCGAACATTCGTATGGCTTCTCTCCCGTGTGCGTCCTCTCATGTTTAATCAGGGCGCCTCTCTCAATGAAGCTTTTCCCACAGTCTGAGCATCGATGTGGCTTCTCTCCTGTGTGGATTCTCATATGCTTAACAAGGATCCCCTTCTCGCCAAAGGCTTTCCCACACTCCGAGCACTCGTACGGCTTCTCTCCGGTGTGGGACCTCTCGTGTTTAATTAGAGTGGATTTCGCGTTGAAACTTTTGCCGCAATCTGAACATTTGTATGGCTTCTCTCCTGTGTGGATTCTCTTGTGCTTCACAAGATTCGTCCTCCAGCCAAAACTTTTCCCACACTCAGAACAGATGTACGATTTCCCTCCCACGTGGAGTCTTTCATGTGGAACGAGGGATACTTTGTGGTTTGAGATTTTCCCACAGTGCAGTTTACCCTTCACCTGCACCTGCTGGTTCTCAGGAACACTGACGTCATGAGGCCATCGTTCATCACTACCGATGAATGACTGTTTCCTACGCTGTAAAGTATCATCATATGAATTCTGCTCACTTTCCTCACAAAGGAAGTTTCTGCTCGCTGGGTAGTTTCCACGGTGCCATTCCTGTTCACTTCCATGCTTCTCGTCCATCTCAGGTCCCCAGAAAAAATTTCCTTCAGTTCTTCCCAGTGAAATCCCACGGATGCCCTCTGGCTCAAGCCTTTCCACTTCGAGGGGGTCATCGTCATTCTTGTGCACATGCTCATCACATTCTGGAACAAAGAAGCATACATTAAGGGTGCTGAGCCCTGACCTGAATAGCCTAGGCTAGCCCGGTTCCCTCAGATCTCAGAAGCTAAGCAGGGTCTGGTGTGGTTAGTATTTGGATGGGAGACCACCAAGGAAGTCCAGGGTTGTGATGCAGAGGCAGGCAATGGCAACCCACCTCTGTTCGTCTCTTGCCCTGAAACCTCAACAGGGTCACCTTAAGTCAGCTACAACTTGAGGACACTTTCCCACCACTGCTAAGCCAGTAGAATTCTTCTCTGTGCACCATTCCTTGCCAATTTTTTGAGAGTCATCCAATACTTCCATAGGGTCCTCTGTGCTAAGCTAGCAAGAAAGAAATCACCAGCTACAGGGCCATGCATTTTATAAATAGTCCCAGCTGTTAGAACACGAGACTGCTGAACATACGTTCATTCACAAATTCAGAACAATGGACACCCCCATGGCTGAACAGGGACATAGGTTTCTTGTTCCATTTCCCCCCCCATGCCATCCAGCCACAGCTGACTTATGATGCTGTAAGGTTTTCAAGGCAGGAGGCCTTCAGATATGGTCTGTTATTGCCTGCCTCTGCCTAGCGACCCTGGGCTTCCTTGGTGGTCTTGCATCCAAATACTAGCCCAGGCTGACTCTGCTTAGCTTTCAAGATCTGACGAGATCAGGCTAGCTTGGGCGATCCAGGTGAGACCCTTGTCTCACTGCAGATACTTAATTTTCTGCATTTCCCATCCCTCGGCATTGTCCCCCTCCTTTAATCAAGCCGATTACATCTTGCATTGTACCACTACATCCTAAAGACTAACAAAATTTGTGATGGGGTAGGAGCTTTTGTGAGTCACTACTCACTTCGTCAGATATCTGAACGAAAGCTCATTCCCTGCCACAAATGTTGTTAGTTTTTAAGGTGCTATTGGACTCTTGCTCTTTTCTACTGTTAAAAGGTAAAGGTTCCCTTGCTCGAAAGCCAGTTGAATCCGACTCTAGGGTTGCGGTGCTCATCTCCGTTTCAAAGCCGAAGAGCCAGCGCTGTCCGAAGACGTTTCCATGGTCATGTGGCCGGCATGACTAAACACCAAGGCGCGCGGAACGCTGTTACCTTCCCACTGAATTGGTACCTATTTATCTACTTGCAATTTCTTGCTTTCGAACTGCTAGGTTGGCAGGAGCTGGAACTAGGGACGGGAGCTCACTCCATCATGCGGCACACTCGGGTCTCGAACTGCTGAACTACCGACCCTCCACAGCCTGCAGTTCAGTGTCTTAACCACTTGAGCCACAGACAGACTAATATGGCTACCCATCTTTGACCTTTGCATCCTGATTTCCTTCTTTGCAACACCATTCCCACCTTCCGCATGGAGTCTAAAGATCCAGGATCTCCATTCCTACTAGTATCTGGTGAAGGGAGCTTTGACTCTTGAAAGCTTACACCCTGGAAATCTGGTCTTCAAGGTGCTCCTGGACACATATCAGTCTCAACTGCAGAGTTTAGCGTCTCTTTCTGACGTGGGACTCACTTCTGAAGTTACTATACTTTTCAAGATCCACTTGCAGTACATGTTTCTCCCCTTCCTTCCTCACATAAATTCTAGGAATCTCACATCAATTACTGCTGAAAAAAGTTTATGTTAGTAACTATATGGCATTTCTGAGCAATCGCCTGCATTTCATAGCCATTTCATCCCCCCCAAAAAAA